TTAAAACAAATAGAAATAATAATGAGTATGGTACTACTAGTAATACTAATAATAATAAAAAAAAAAAAAAATACTAAAACTAATAATAACAATAATAAAGCAACATATTTCACAACCATTATTCGGGAAAAAAAAAAAAAAATAAAAAAATAATAATATAGCTATAATTCATTTGTGTATAAAAAAAATAAAAAGAAAGACGTCAACACTATATTAATCACTACTTTTGCATGCCAAAGGAAAGCTAAGGTGAAGGGGCCGATCCCCATTCCCCTGTATTTATTGGAATGAAATCCCCAGCTTTGAAGACAAAGTGCCCAGTGTGTGCCTTCCTCCATCTCTACGCCCCGTTATCACACGCCACCTAATTGTATGTGCAGCCTGTGAAAGTTAAATTGGAAGCTGTCCCACCAGGGAGCTGCCATGTGCCTCTAGACTGGAGATGTCAAGCAGAGAAAACTCACTCTGCAAAGTTAATTTCTATTCCCGAGGAGGATTTCACACTCCAGCTCATTGTGACCCGCACTAATTAGTAGAGATAACTAATGATTACTTACTTATTCTCTGTAATTATCTGGATTTCATAATTCACTGTGTAATTTATTAATTCGCTAAAAAAAAAGTGTTTTAGCGTCTATTTCATCTACAGGGAGAAGGTAAAATTGCCTGACACTACACAGGATGATCATCTGTAGCCATCATCAGGACAGCCGACACTACACAGGACAGCGCCATTCCTATATGTGGGGGCAGCATTTGTTCAAAACAGGAGAATTTTTTGTCAATGAATAAACAAGTAGTAACTGTATGTATCTGAAATCAGAAATTCGTTATAAAAAAATGAAATGACATGTATACATAAATCTGCCTGTTATTTCCCTAACTATTCCAAAAGTATTCGATCAACAGGTGTGGAATAAGGCACCTGTAACTGAAATTATCTGGAGGGCAATTGGAGGGTAATTCATTTCCTATATAACCCTGGCAAAATAAACCATCCAGAAACGTCTGTGGGAGTATATGGATTCTTATAATCGCTTATTATTATTATAAATAAAATAATAAAATAAATAATAAAAAAAAAAATGCTACCCTGGGTACACAGGCACACTGAAGGAAACAGGATATTGATAAATCACGTTAACCTTTCCTGGCCCAGTGTGTAGTCACAACCCTTTAATTAACATAACGCCCCTCCTTCCACCCAATCTGTAGCTCCAACTACTAAACAGCTCACAGGCAATAATCTGGGCACCATTTATAAATGTGTGAAGCAAAACAAGTCTATATATAATATATGATATATAATATATATGTGTGTGTGTGTGTGTGTGTGTGTGTTCAAAGATTCTCTCTCTCTCTCTCTCTCTCTCTCTCTCTCTCTCTGTATATATATATATATATATATATATATATATATATATATATATATATAAATATAATATACTAGTAATATATTATCTTTTTCCCACTCTGTGAAAAAAAAAATATATTTAAATACACATTCTCTCTCTCTCTCTATAATATATATAAAATATATATATATCTTTTTACATATATTACCTTTCTGCCTCTCTAGGAATAAAAATATATATAAAAACACACTTTCTCTCTCTCTCTATATATATATATATATATATATATATATATAGATAGATAGATAGATAGATAGATAGATAGATAGATAGATAATTCACCTTATCTTTCTGCTTTTTATCTGTGAATAAACAAAAAATCATACTAGTGATTTATAAATAAATATCAGTGTGTGTCGGAAAAGGCAGCTTTTGGTTGGATCTGCACAAAAGCCAACACATGTATAGTCAATATATGTCAATGACAGGCTCCTGATGATAAGGCCGGCATCCCCAGGCCGGGAATTGTAATGAAAGCTGTAGGCTATCCTACATCCAGACTATCCTACATCCAGACTATCCTACAGGCAGACCATCCTACTACATCCAGACTATCCTACAGGCAGACTATCCTATACAGGCAGACTATCCTATACAGGCAGACCATCCTATACAGGCAGACCATCCTACATCCAGACTATCCTACAGGCAGACTATCCTACATCCAGACTATCCTACAGGCAGACTATCCTACAGGCAGACTATCCTATACAGGCAGACCATCCTACATCTAGACTATCCTATACAAGCAGACCATCCTACATCCACACTATCCTGCAGGCAGACTATCCTACATCCAGACTATCCTACAGGCAGATTATCCTACATCCAGACTATCCTACAGGCAGACTATCCTACATCCAGACTATCCTACAGGCAGAGTATCCTATAAGCAGGCTATCCTACATCCAGAATATCCTACAGGCAGACTATCCTACATCCAGACTATCCTACAGGCAGACTATCCTACATCCAGACTATCCTACATACAGACTATCCTACAGGCAGACAATCCTACATTCCATCATAGTGATGTAAACATCACATCGTGACGTCCTGGACAGCAGCATTGGGCAGCTATACAGAAGTACGGAGCTGTCCTTGGTGCTGAACAGCCACCGACTCCCCTCTCCAGCCTCAGCCCATTCCCATACAAATTCCTTCATCTGTCAAACTAAAGTTAAGCAATTCCTTCAATTATAACAGCCTGTTTAGTAATTAAACCGTTCAAATGAGTAATTAAAAAATGTTATATTTGTATGTCTACGTTCATACACAGTAAGACTGAAGAAATCGAAATCATGTTAAGATTTTTCAACAGCACCTTCCTTGCAAATTAGTTCTGACAAATAATTTCGTTGCTGTAAGGCTGTCGTATAGCAGATCACCCTAGAGACTGCCTTCCTCTACAGGCATATGTTTTACTATGTGCTTCTTCTTCTTTGTATTATTATTATGTTAAACCTAATTCAGCAAACAGTGCAAAGAACTGACGTCCCATTCGTAATACACTGCTAAGTTCCACCAGTGACCTGACCACAAGTGATAGGGAGATCGATATGTCTACAATATAGCTCTCTTGGAATTCTGGAATAGCTGGTAATATTGTATTATAGGAGTACACGGGGTGTAGGAAGGGAATAAGCCCCCAGTGATGTAAACTGGGTCAGTGGGGGTCCCAAACACCAGTCAATAAAACAGTGCGATTAAACTTTCAGCTTGGGGACTGTCTAATACTCCTGGGACCCCATCGTCACCATCAGTATGATTCACATTCGTTGTAATAACAGCCCATCGATCCAGCAATTAGTTATTTACAGTATTTTGACTAGGTAATGACATTTAAAATTGCATCTAGCAGCCGGCTAGTATTTGAAAGTAACTATAGTATCGACTTTAAAAAATACAATCGCATATTTGTTTCAAATGGAAAACTGTCTATAATGTGGCGTTTTTTAGTAACACATCTGTCCATGCTAGTCACACTCAATTCAAATCAGCTGATTTACTAAAGAAACCTAGCCTTCATCTCAAACACTGTTTATTGAGGGAAGTTTTAGGAAATGTACATTTCTCCAAATCTAGGTAAGCCTAAGGCTTCCCATACATTATACAATTTTTCCTTTAGATTTACCAAAACTATATAATATGAGGTCAAACCAAAACACTTTCAATTTGTATGCAATCAGGCAACCCCTTGCACTACAAAGTTGAAGGTAAATCTAAAGGAAATTTAATAAGAAAATTGTATAATGTATGGCTAGCTTAAAAAATGATTTCTTTAGTAAATAATTCCCTGGTACATTACAACTAAGCAGATCATTTTTATACAAATTCAAGAAAGAACTATTTGCCAAGCAGCTGTCAAAACCTTGTATTTTAATGAAATACTTTTTTTCCACAACATTTTGGAATAACTTAATACATTACCATAATAAATAAAAAAACGTCTATTAGCAAAACAACTAAAACCAACCTTTTACGGGACAGAAGACCTGAAATAATCTCAGAACAGCAATACAGCAAAAAATCTGTCAGAGCATATTTATAGATGTGTTGGTGTGTGAGTAAGTTCACTATTTACACTACGGACACTTGGAGTGTGTGGATATGTGTAGGCCCCCCAATAATGTGGGGGGTTGGGGTAACCAGAATTAGGCAGAGCAGTACTTCCATGACAAAGAGGATAAGAGGCTCTATGGCTGCCTGAGTTGTGTCTAGGGATGCCCATTAAATATGTAAGGCCATCTAGCTTCATTCTAGGATCAAGGTTCTCATATAGGAGCCAGACAAAGCTTTCTGCCTATTAGCGGTCATTATTGTCACCAGCTATGGAGATCTGTCTATGGAAATGTACAGATGTTTTTCTATTTATGGGAAATGGATCGAATTGTGGAACTTTGTCACCTCTGTTTATTAAACAACGATGTGAGTTCAAACTTTGGGAAACACATTAGTGAACCTCTTTTTTTTTTTAAACAGGAGCAAAAAGGTACTTGCTATTTAAAACAACACAGAATAATAAACCCATTGAACTTCTGCTAGTAAGCATTTTGATTGTAAAAAAAAAAAGAAAAAAAAACAAAACAAAACAAAGAAGCAAAAGTGACACATTGGGGGCGATCAGATCGAAAGCCAGCATCACAACAGGAACAGATATACTTATCACGTTAAAAATATAATATGTGTGTATATATATTTCTATGTAACATCTGAAGGAAACGCTGCAAGGGAATGGCATGGCTTTCAGCGCCCTTGGAACAATCAAGTCCCCAGCATTTTCTTAGCAGTCACTTATTCTCGTGATCCTTAAAAATATTTGTCATTTAAAGGGGGGCAAAGAATAAAACATTTCTTACTTGTGTAGTCCTGATCCTTTAAAACTGATCTGGAGTCACCAAGAGTTTATTGTTCTTGACAAAGACGTGGAGGGGGCATTAGGATGGCAAAAAAGGTTATCCCCCCCACCTTTTTTTTTTTTTTTTTTACGTATTAGACATATAGCTATTTATATATTTAAAAACATTAAAATCTGTTCTTTTTTTTTTTTTTTTTAGAAAATTTCAGTCAAATCCCAAGCAAAGTCTATATTCCAGCTGAGTATTTCATCCGTTTCTGTTTTTGCCTCTGGTTGCAGAACCAGACCCGGACCACGTTCTTTTTGAGGTCCAGCTTCTCGGCGATGGCGGCGATCTTCTCGGAAGAAGGACGAGGCTGGATGGCGAAGTAGGCTTCCAAGGAGCGCTTCTCGGGGGCGGCGATGGACGTCCGTTTGCGCTTCTTCTCGGCGCCGTTGAAGAGCTCTGGCTTGGTGAGCTTCTCCCGATGAGACTTCTCAGCTTCTTCCAGCCATGCTTGCAAAATGGGCTTGAGGGCGATCATGTTGTTGTGGGACAAGGTGAGGGACTCAAAGCGGCAGATGGTGCTCTGGCTGAGGGAACCTACCCCAGGGATCTTCAGGTTGGCAAGGGCAGATCCTACATCTGCCTGGGTCACCCCAAGCTTGATCCTCCTCTGCTTGAACCTCTCAGCAAAGGCTTCCAAGTCCCTGGGATCAGCGTCCACGTCGCTCATGCATCCCATGTGGGAGGGTAGCCCGTGGGCATGTGCCATGCTGAGCGCCTGGTGCATGGGGTTCATGCTGGACATGTGTGGGTGAGCTGGAGTGGACACCACCGAGCCATCTGGTCCTGTAATGGCCCCTAGTGTCAGTCCTGGGGTGATGTGGTCTAGAAGTTCTCCTTCCAGGGGCTGGTGGTGGTGATGGTGGTGGTGGTGGTGGTGGTGGTGAGAGTTGCCCACTCCAGAAGGGTGGGAGATGGGCACTGAGGAGGAAGAAGAGGCAGATGTGCAAGGGATGGTGTTCATGGTGTGGTAGGTAGCGTCCGGCTTGAAGGGGCTGTGGTGGGGAGTGTGGTGGTGGTGGTGGTGTTGGCTCTTGCACTGAGACACTATATCCACAGCAGCCAACGCTTCAGCACGGGCCAGCAAACTCTCATCCAGACCTCCAAATATATTGCTCTGCAATGTCAAATAGAAAGCACACATTACTGTCTGCTGGGAATTCAGCGATTAAAACTTTTCCAGAATGTTAAAAATCCTGCTACAGAGAGGGGAAGAAAGGCAGAACACACGCCTAGGCACACACTACACAAGATACATGCAACATCCCAGGTCATAAAAATTAATATGAAAGGCAAGACCGACTGAATACATAAGTTGAGGCAAAAGAGAGAGAGAGAGAGAGGGAGAGAAAGAAGGGGGGGAAACATTGGATGTGTTGGGTGATTTGCTGTGCAGACATGAAAAAAACATCAAGCAGATAAAGGGGGCTGTCAAGATGTGCCTTAGAGCGGTGATTATGCAGAGTACATACCGGTGGGGTTGGGAGACAGGCTCTTCTCATCGCCTCCGAGCTGCTGCTACTGCTGCTGTTGGCGCTACCTCCTCCTCCCCCGGTACTGCTCCTGACACTGCTGATGCTGGGAGAGCTGGTGGCCGAGGAGGACGAGTGCGGGGAAGAGGAGTGTAGGGCAGAATACTTGGCCTCGTCCTGCAGGCTACTATGAGCCATGCTGAAGTGCTGCTTGCTGTTCAGAGACATCATCATCATGTTGGCTGTTGGGGGGGGTTCTGGAGCAAAGGGCTGCTGGGGGGTCCAGACACCTTCTGGATAACGGACAAGGCTGAGATGTGTCCTTCCAATGTACCAAGGCTATGGAGCCCCAGAGCTGTCAGCAGCTTCCCTTCCTTCCTCCTGTCCTCTCCTGCTCCCCCAGTTTTGTCTCTGTCCCTAGGAGTAGCGTGCCTTTGCCTATCCCCCTCCTCCCCCCTAGAGAGTAAATACAAGATCTTCTAAGATTTTTCCTTCCCTTACTCCTCCCATCCAGGGGCTCCCTCACTCCTGGTGTCAATGTTTGATAACGGAATCTGTGGCCATGGAGAGAGCTCTTCCTCCTAACCTCCTAGAAGACTAGGACTGCAGCCATGTGTCCCAGGCCAGCTGCTCCCCTCACAGGTTGTGCCATGCCTCCTTTATGTCCAAGCTCCAGCAGTGTTCCTCTAGTGCCATGGGATCCCTAATCTAAGCTGTCCCTACGCCTCCCAGGAGCCTGGTCTTCTCTTGTGCTGCACCGATGCTGCTCCAGCTGTACACCTTGGCCTGCCAGGTAGTCTGTGAGTGGAGGAGGTATCAGTGTGGATTGGATTCCAGGCACATCCAGCCTCTCTCTTCTATGGCTTCAGAGCTCATCTGTGATTGGATAGCCTTGTTGTGTGTGTGTGTGTGTGTATGTGTGTGTGTGCTTGTGATGGATAGACACTGTAGAGTCTCTGTGTGTCTCACAATAGATGTGTGTGTTCTCCACCCCTTGTCATTGTTTTGTCTCCCCTATTACCTTCTTCATCCTATCTTCTCAATCAGAGTTCTGTAGAATATTTTGATGTGATGTGCTTGTGCTCAGTCCTATCACAGAAGGAGGGGTGGTGGGGAATGTCCTGCTTTTAGCAACACATACTTCATTGTGACTAATGTCATGGTCCCCTGCCTGGTTTCTACAGCCTGCGGTCACATATGAAGTCTTAACACGATGGGAAGGCCAGCACCGGGCGCATGAGCACTCACTTCATACTCCTGTCTTTAAATAGCTGCACACACCTGATATTTTTAACCCCCCTCCCCAATCACCCTTCCAATTTGCTATTTTTAGATCATGCACTGAACGTCACAAGGAATCCAGTGCAGCAATTCCAGTGATCACAAAGTACAAGACGACCCCCATCAATGGGTTAATGTCACCTGTCACAGCTGCTGCCTTACATCCCCACTAAGTGAACCCTTTTTTTAATTCATCTTCCCTAATTTATATATTTAAAATCGTATCCGAAAAATTGTATTTTTTCCCCTTTTTTTTTGTATAAGGAAATCCCAAAATTGCATTGTGTAGCCTTCACTGTCGCCACTTCGTCGCAATGAAATAAATCAAAGTTAAGAGCTTGAGGATCATTTAATTATAGTGCGAATAGCGCTGTGCACCACCTCCAACAACATCTCTAAGCAAATTATGGCCGGGCCAGGAAGGAATTATTAGATTGAAATTTCATTTAGGCTGGGGAGACACAGCACTTCAATATGTAATCTGTTATGCCTCATCTGATTTGTATGCTTAATTCGCTTTGACGAATTTATTAGTTTTCATAATAGTGCTGGAAAATGAGAGACACTCCAGTCTGTATTACACTGTGTGTGCCATAAATTCCATGTCAGCACTGAGGATCTTTTATTAATGACTGCCAGCCTAGTCCATCATAGAGGAGCTCTTTAAGTTGATAAAACCCCTCTGTGCTCTTGTAAGAAGCAGATTAACACAGTCGTGTTAATTAGACTGCATTGTCAGTGATAATGGTTGGAACTTGAAATTATGTTCTAATTAACAAGGTTTGTGTAATTTGCCTTCTCTTCAAGGGACATTCTGTGCTGTAATTATTATATAATGCGCAGTATTTAGTGTGACTGTAATAAATCTGCTTTGCTGAACACACACAGGATATTGCATAGGACTCAGAGTAGTGGGGAGGAAAGGCAGCATCTCTCCATGTGCTTTGTATCAGAGCTGGAGGCAAATGTTTCACTGGCTGATGTATCTGCAGCACCTGAAAGATGTAGAGGATCGATCCTTGCACTGATGGGTCCTCTAGTGCTGTTTGTCTAGTTGGTGTACTCTTCCAACTCTATACAGGTAAGATCAGCACTGTGTTTCTCTATTTAATTCCATCCATTTTAGTTTGTAATCCTTAAGCATATATGCCAACTCCAAGTATTTCATTGGACACCTAAACCACCAATTATTCACATATCTGCTACTGCTGTCACTTGATATTTGTTTACAATGAACTTAACTGTTCTTACATTTATAAATATTAACATACATTAATATGTCTAATGGTGGCCATACACGCTTCGATTTTTATTATCCGATCGATGAGCAATTTGATCAAAACAATTGAATAGGCTTAACTTGCCTTCTGATCAATTTAGATTGGATTGGATGAAATTGAGGTGATCAGACAGGGTAGCAAATCATCAATCGTTTTGCATCAATTGGCAGCACTGAAATGCTTTAGTCATGAAGGTAATTTCAATCAGTCAGATTATTAGATTGCATGGTGAAAACAGAGGTGCCATCTTTTGCAATCGTATCTTCCAACTATTGATCAAATCCAATTCCTGGTGTGTGGCATGTTGACTGAATTGGTTGTATACTATAGATTCATTACATTTATTGGGAAAGATCCATTGGAAAATAAATCAATCACTTATCGAAGCCTGTATGGTCAACATTAGATCAGATTCAATCAAATTGAATCAGCCAGGGTGGAATATTATCGATTGTTTTACATCGAAGGACAGCACTAAGATGTTTTGGTCAAGAATTTGAGCATATTTCAATCAATCAATCAGATTACAGAGATTTGATCGATGACTTGCGATCAAATCTTATAATTATTGATCAAAATCCAATTCCTTGCGTGTGGAATATTGATCGAAAGGCTTGTACATTATAGATCGATTATTCCTATTGGGAGAGAATGATTGGTAAAGGAAAAAATCATTTTTTTTCTCCCTGTTGGTTAAACTGGATGGACTTGTGTCTTTTTTCAACCAGATTAACGATATTTATTGAAGAGTGTATGGCCACCATAGTGTATTATCTAATTTGACAATTTCTTTCAATCTTTCTATTAGGATAAATGTAATTGACATCTTATACTCATTCTTCCAAAAAGTTCTGAAAAGGAATAAGAAACTGCCTTAGGCTGTTAAAGAGGTTCAGTTACCAAAGGAGTATATTTGTTCACTTATCAATGTGTATGTTAGTAAATAAGATGAACCAGTGATTACTTCACTACCCAAGTTTACAAATCATTTTTTAAAAAGTATATTTGGTATATGTGAACACAACTTCACTAGCATTCACTGTACAAAGTGAACATTAAACATTCTATTTTTCTTACTAAATCACTCTTAGACGATTGCTCCTGCAGGCACTGTGATGAGCACTGCTAATACACATCATAAGCCGCTGATAGCTGGGAATCATTCATAAGGGAAGCTATAGATCGGGCTAATGATCATTCATAGAGAGCCCACATGAGATGATGTCATGTCTCAATCATTTGAATTCTGAAATCCTGTCACCTGATTTCTAACCTGCTTATTTCCCGAAAACAACAAAATGCACGCCACTTTTTTTCCAGAGCTTAATTACTTGCTGAGATGTTTTAATGTATTCTGTCGCATGGGAGAATTGGGAAACGCTTATCGTCAATTTGCATTAATCTTGATCTTAATAGCAAGTGACAACAGATCTCCAAAATGCTAAACTCTTGTCACTAGTCTGTGCGGTAAATAAGGCGCTATAATAAATTCATGAAATCCTGCAAACTGCTGAAATAATTGACTTTAACTTTAGTTGGAGTGTTCTGATGAGCTGAGCGAGAAAGGTGCATTGTCAACCAGCTGATCTCCCTGTGTTGGATCAGCTTCATACAATGTGCACGATGATCAATGCTTAGCAGCCACGTCCCTGCTCTTTCACTATTAGGAGACCAAAGTAGGCTTGCATTTACCAAGTGTCAAATGAATCCCTTGAATTACAATATTAGTGGGTACATTTATCAGAACATCTTTGATACCCTCATGGACTTGTCAGAAGCTTGCCCTACTGTGAGATCTAGGGGTAAAGGTGGATTCTGACTAAGCCATTGGTGAAATTTCACCAAAGAAGACACACTTTTGCTCATTGAGCTGCTTAGGTAAATGTAATAGAAATAAAAAAAAGTGCAATGCTTTGAATCATTTTCTTGAAGTAGTGCCCTATTTAATAGGTATTTTTATGTGAGATCCAGGGGTAAAGGGGGATTCCAACTAAACTGATTAAGCCATTGGTGAAATTTTACCAAAGAGGACACAGTCACGTTTACTCATTGAGCTACTTAGGTAAAATGTAACAGAAATAAAAAAAAAGTTCTGATGCTTTGATTCATTTCCTTTATTTATAGGGTTTCTTTTTTTGTGTGGGGGGTGGATAGTTTAGCTTATTTCATTAATGTCTATTGTATTTTAGACCTTTTAAGTTTGAGTATTTGAATATTATTTGTGTACTGTCACTTTAAATAGTTTTTTTTTTTGCTGTCTGTTTTGTTATTTCTGTAAAACAATTAGTCCAGATAGTGGAAAGCAGCTCCTGCTGCTTAAACCCCATTGCATCCCTAAAGACAGCCCTAATTTCCCCTTTCCTCCTGACTCAAGTGAAAACAGTTCTAATGCTGTGATTCATTTACTTTATTTATAGAGGTTTTTGTTTTTTTGGGGGGAGGGGGGTAGTTTAGCTTGTTTCATTAATGTCTATTGTATTTTTGACCTTCTTAGTTTGAGTATTTGAATATTATTTGTGTACTGTCACTTTAAATAGTTTTTTTTTTTTTTGCTGTCTGTTTTATATTTCTGTAAAGAAATTGGTCCAGGATAGTTGAAAGCAGCTCCTGCTGTTTAAACCCCATTGCATCCCTAAAGACAGCCCTAATTTCCCCTTTCCTCCTGACTCAAGTGAA